CACAAGACACCCTGCCCCACAAGACACCCTGCCCCACAAGACACCCTGCCCCACAAGACAGCCTGCCCCACACTGCCCCACAAGACACCCTGCCCCACAAGACACCCTGCCCCACAAGACACCCTGCCCCACAAGACACCCGGCCCCACAAGACATTCTGCCCCACCCTGCTCCACAAGACACCATGCCCCACAAGACACCCTGTCCCACAAGACACCCTGTCCCACAAGACACCCTGCCCCACAAGACACCCTGCCCCACAAGACACCCTGCTCCACAAGACACCCTGCCCCACAAGACACCCTGCCCCACAAGACACCCTGCCCCACAAGACACCCTGCCCCACAAGACACCCTGCCCCACAAGACACCCTGCCCCACAAGACACCCTGCCCCACAAGACACCCGGCCCCACAAGACAGCCTGCCCCACACTGCCCCACAAGACACCCTGCCCCACAAGACACCCTGCCCCACAAGACACCCTGTCCCACAAAACACCCTGCCCCACAAGACACCCTGCCCCACAAGACACCCTGCCCCACACTGCCCCACAAGACACCCTGCCCCACAAGACACCCTGCCCCACAAGACAGCCTGCCCCACACTGCCCCACAAGACACCCTGCTCCACAAGACACCCTGCTCCACAAGACACCCTGCCCCACAAGACACCCTGCTCCACAAGACACCCTGCTCCACAAGACACCCTGCCCCACACTGCCCCACAAGACACCCTGCCCCACAAAACAGCAAGTCCCACCCTTGTCCCCTTAAACTTTTGTCCTGGCTATATATCTGACTCCATTCGCTATTCCTCCCTCCCATCACACCATAAAACACACTCCTATTAAAACTTTAAGAAAACAACAGTATCAGCTTTACACGGGGTATTTTTTAAAACTTTTTTATATGGCGTGTGAAAGGGAAATAACTCTCTGGATCTAGAATCTACGTATCATGGGGAACACACCAAAATTTCCAAACCCATCTCCAGAACCAAAAAAAAAAAAAAGTATTTAAAAAAAATGGAAATAAAATTCTTGTTGTTCCGATTGTTTACCTTAAGCCTGTGCAACTTTTATAGTCTACACTTACAAGGGAAAGACGTTTCTGTGGATTTTATGGTGACAGATGAACAGTATTTTGGCGAGATTGGCTCTTTATGTTCTCGCCCCTGCCAGGGGGAATAATACTGTACGGTGATTTATCTCGCTCTACCGGAGAAGCTTTTGTGTTGTTAACAATTATTTAAACATAAATCTCAGAGCTATTATATATATATATATATATATATATATATATATATATATATATATATATATATATATATATATATATATATATATATATATATATACATATATAATGTTTGATGATTTATATATATAAGGACTATGTTTGTCGTGTTGAATTGTCGTTTGTTTTGCTATATAACTTTGTTACACTCATGCAAAAAATGCAGTAAAATTATATATTAAAAAATTAGTATTTTATTTTTAAACGCAAAAATATCCATTTGATCACAAAGTTTATAATACTTCTAATGTCTGCTTAATAACATAATGCGTAGAAGCATACGCTTAAAATAAATAAAATACCCTGACTTCTTAGGCCAGCAGAGAATAAAGAGGCTGAATGTTTATTTTTAACTCTTCATTAAATGTGGGTGGCCGAGTGTTTATGCGAAAAGCCACCCGAACGAGACTCCTGAGCAGACGATCCACCAGTCAGAGCCTTCCGTCAGGGAGCCGGTGCTAGCGTCTGAACACATTAAGAGAGCACACGCCGTCCGTTGCCTTTAATTCGAGATGGTTTTGTTTAAACATTCGCGCGTCCAAATTTACCGATTGCTTATTGAATTGTTTTTTTCGTACCTTGTTGGCTTTGAAGTTGCGTTTTTTTCCTGGCCACTTGTCGCTTGCGTGAATGATCATCCGGCCACCGCTATTTAAAAAAAAATCGTAATTCATTATTTAATTTAACGCGTTTGATGTGAAACGAAAAATCATAAACCAAATAGATCTAGTTACGACTAGTGGTAGTCTATCGAGTCCCAAATCTGAATTGGACCTGGATGGGGCCTTTGGTTAAATCTTTATGTACTAGTCAGTAGACTAGAACTATTGTTGCAAGCCATTGATCCTCTGACTTTGGTATAACGTGTAGGTCTATTTGACTTTAACTGCCGAGAGTGGGTGGCGAAACTCATATTTTACCCATTAAACAAATCTACTGGATCCGGCGAGATAGACCACAGGGAAATGAAACGAGCGTAACACACGCAAGTGTTGGACATCAGTATACCAAATAATCCATTAAAAAGTATCAATGTAATAAACAGTAGAATGGGTTGGGTGTAGGCCTACCGTTGTCCGAATATCTGCTCCCCTGGCGTGTGTTACACATCTCTTTGGACGGTGGCTCTATCTAGCCAAACCCTGGAGACATGTATAACTTATTTAGCACTGGCTAGACATGGCCGCAAGCACTTAGATAAAGGAGAAGCGCATTCAATAACTTTTGAAATAACACATGAAAAAAATTTAGTTTGTTCAGCGTGCTAGAATTAAACATAACTCATGTGGCCACATCCAAGCAACCAATCCGTATTGTTCCAGTGTCTCGTGCAAGTCAGCCATTTCAAGAACAGAAAACATTCAACTGTAAATATTACCTCTGCTTAGCGTACAACATTCTCGTAACCCAGGCCGTACACAAGATTGTGACAAGAAGACCTGCCCGATCCTGGTACACCTTTTGTCATTGCCAGCTTGATATGCTTATATTTTACAATCCATGCATGCGCATTGTGACAGCTTTCTATTGATAATTTAATTTAGCACGATCATAATTAGAATAATTCATTCATGAATCGTCTATAACCATGTCCTACCCCAAATAGTTACAGAACCATTTGATCGGTCACTTCCCACATTATGTAAAAAAAAATTCGACCTTCCCCTCAGAAAACTACAAAACGTTTGGAACTTGCTAATGAAATAACCGTCACATCAGTTCCCTTTCACACGTAATTTTACAACTGTTGTACGTACAGTTGCTGAGAGTCTCCGGGAACTTGAATTTTCACGAAAAACGTTAAAAAAAATGGAATTAAAGAGTTTTAGAGGCATATAACACCAACTCCATATCCGCAATAGCTTGCCAGTTATTCATACTATATCGACAATATGTTGTCACCCCCCCCCCCCCCCATACCCGCAATAGCTTGCAGTAATTCACGCTATATCGACAATATGTTGTCTCCCACCCCATATCCGCAATAGTTAACCACCCCATATCAATGGTATAACAAAGAATAAGCCACGCTTTTCCCCCTTTCTCTGTTAGGTTTTACTTTAATTCAAAATGGCTGTTTGTGGACAATCTTACAACTGAATTTTAATTTAACTCACTTCTAAGGCAGCGATTCCTTTCAATTTCCAGATACGTCTCCGATGACGATTCAAGAATTTTATATTTTATGTATCGAATTAAATATTTGATTACTAATTTTAATATTCAATAATAAAAGGGGAGATACATTTAAATCAAAGATAACTATATTCAATAAGAAAATTGATAACAAAACGAATTAAAATATTGCCGTCGACAGTGAACTGTTGGACTAAGAAGGGACATACATGAGATCGCAAACAACAGTTTGGGCTACAAGCAAATAGTTTTAGTTGTGTCCGGTGTGGACTTCATTAAGTGAAATAGGCATTTAGTTCTAACTGATACCCGTCCACCCACATTACTCGATATCATTGTTGACAGAGGAGAGTAAAATAACTCTCTACGGCCATAGTCAAGAAATGGAACTGTAATTCTGTTTGCATATAAATGTGAAACAGTAAATCTCGTCATATGACAATTAATATCGCACCTAATCCTCTTAAAAACAAATCCACACGTCAGACGAACACACTTTTATTTATGATAGGACAAATATTATGAATTTTAAGTAATCTTATATACGAACTAAAAATTAGGACAAGTCCTCTTATTTCTAGATTAGGTGTCACCATTTTTACAAGCTTTTATAAAGTTGGCAACGTCTGTTTGTGGAAAATATTGTAACTCAATTTTGACCTCCTTCTAATGCAGCGATATCGTTCAAACTTTCCAGATACTTCGATGACAATTTACAAGTGTATTTTTTAATTTTATTAGATGATTATTTAGTCAAAATTAAAGTTTTGAAACTAAAGGGGATAACAAAATTAAATAACTCGATAGATTACTATATTTAATGACAGAAAGGGAGATAACTAGCTAGACACGATCACCCTAAGTTTGAAGAGATGTGGTTCACAAGAATGTTTACAATCGTAGATTCGGTAGATATAGTCAGGGCTATTATTAGACGGATAGTTTCAATATAGATTTGAAACTAAGGGGAGGTAATACGATTAAGAATGTGTTGGTTGCTTTCCTATTTCGCGAGCTACTGAGGGTGATGAAAAGCAAATATTTTTAGTTATGTCGGGTTCATAATTTGGTATTACTAAAAAGAAGAAAAATAAATGTATAGCAACAAATTAAATGAACTGAAAAAAAAAATTTCTTTAATCAAAGCTTTGCTCATGATACATATTTTGGCACCAAAAGCAGCTTTTGTTAAAAAAGTTTTTAAAATCTTATTTTCAGTGCATTTAAAAGCTTGTTGCTCCAAGTATTAAGTTTTTTTATTGTTTACAACGTACTAGCCCTATCTCTTTAATAGCAACTTAATGTGCAACACAATTTTTAAAAAGTTCATCCCAACTGTGCCTGTAAAGCAGCACATCTCCAGATTAGAATGCCAATAAGAACATGTAGGCATACTGACCCAGAGGTCAGCCGGGCCCTAACAGGTACGCCCACTCAATTTTAAATGTACCAAACCATGTCTTGTGTCAATTGTTTTTGTTGAGGTACTTGGCAAAAAGTACGGTCATGTCAATTAGGTCAATACCTTTAGTAGAGATAAATGAACACAAAGTGAAATCAACAGGGGATTGGAATTTGTAATAATTTATTTAGAATCAATTTAAGGAGAACATCCCAACCACAGACCAAGACAATCAAACCAGTACTATTCCATATTGTGTCTGTGTTGGTGTATTTGGTCTTGACACCATGTTGTCCAGAGTAGACAAAAATATTTACATAGATAAAATACATTCTTAGCCTGCAATATACTCTAGTGAATTTTTTTTTTCTGATGCCACACAACTTGTGTGGGAAATCTTCAGACATTGGAAACAAGTAAAATGTATAAAGAAAGTTTCTGCCAAATGTAGAGACTGAAATAAAACTTTGATGTTTGCTTGGTGTTGAGAGTAAAGAGTGCAGCAAAGTTCTGGCAACTACTCCTGTCCTGCCCATTGACTCTGTATTCAAAGAGAAAAAAACATTTCCATGATGAAGTCATACCATAAACTATTTTCCCTCAACTTTAAGGCTACCATAACTACAACTGGTTCAATTAATAATCAGAGAACACAAGGCAGCCACTTACATCTTGACCACCACGGTTTCCAAGTTTCTTTTCAATATTTAAGGCGAGCATCTGTGACCTAAAGGAAAGGTTTTTAGTTTTCTCTATCACCTGCTGATATGGAGATATAGCTTGAGTGCCCATCACAACATGACCCTGAAAGAAACAGCATTATATCTTATTATTAAAACATGTTAGCACAGTGTTTAACATTAAAGTGATACACTTCTATCACTCATTACTGCATCTGCCACCACTAACTCTACAATAACATTTTTTCTTGCAACCGAATGTCTTTGGGATAGAGTTCCAATCCAATATGTCTGGTCATTTTTCTTTGCAACCTTAATAATTAAACACTTTTTAGCAAAACAATAGGCCTTAATGCTTTTTTCTTATTTTTGTGTGTGTGGTGTCTGTTGTACCATTATCACTATTAATTTTTTTTATCTAAAATATATAAATGAATTCTTATAAATAATTGGTCTAAAACTATTTTAAAAATGGTATGTAAGAAAAAAAGTGAAGCTCAGACAATTGGGAAGATGGAAATCGCTCTTGGTAATGCTCGTATACAAGTTAGCCATCACCACAATTGTAAGGTTATTTATTTTTGTTAAAGCAATTGAGTCATCATTCATGTTTCTTTAATAGTTTACTGTTGTATTAAAAAATATATACCCATTAGAGTTGTAGTTATGGTACTAAAATATTTATGGCCCATCTTTTAATAAAGCTTAACTTGATGCCCCTTTTAACTTTTACAAGAACTGTGGTTGAGATAAATGCAATGAGGTCTAGGTAAAACTGAATGGTCTTCAATAATTAGAAAGAACTATCTATTCTATAAGAATTAGATATGAATGCTGTACTTTCAAGACACTTACTAGTTTAGAGTCTATCTTGGCATCCAGTCTGGCATTTCTAATTAGATTGACTATCCATTTCTCTGCATCGTCAAGGCTCATGTTTAGTTTTTCAGCTAGCATGCTGATGACACAGGAAAATACATATTACAAATATATAAATATATTTTCATTACTGAAAACAAGTACTTGATAAGACTAATGTTTTACACATGGTGGTCAAAGAATTTTTCTTACCTAGTGCTAATACATTCATGAATACGACAGAAAGTCTCAAAAATAAGAAGACGTGCATTTTCAATGAAGTCTTCCAAACAGGCCACCAAGAAGAAGTCATTGAATAGAACCTGGAATCAACATAAATATATCAATGCAATCCAGTGTAAATGAGAATAATACCCTAATAAACAGCTGTGCTTACAAACTGTAGTTATTTAAACTTACGGTTTCACATTCTCTTAACTTTTTCTGAGCACCATCAAAGTCAAAATCCACATACAGACATTGAACAAATTCAGTAATAGGATCTTTATAGGTGTAAGATTCCTGAAATATTTAGAAATAGAACACAAAATTATCAAAAGCTTAATAATGCCTGATTAAAAGACCGAAAAGGACAACTAAGAATAACTGGAACTTAAGTTTAAAAATAATCAGGACTCTATACATTGTGGTAACCAGATTATAGTAGGGTGTGTAGGTGGTGGATAAGATTTGTTACTTCTGAATATTAGTATTAAGAAGTAGGTGCCCTTTTGAACTTGAATTGTATTTAAAAAAATAAACTGTTAACCTTTAATGCCACTAAAGGTGATATTAGCTGGATTACCCTACAGTTAAAATGTAACTCCAAAATTTGTTAACAGTGCTAAAGAAACTTGGGAGTTAGAGCACCACAAGCTATTCAAATCTCTTACCTGCTGAATAACTTTGACAAGATCTTTTAGCACAGCTCTTCGCCTCTGCTTGTTGGTAATCACAGCGGTTGTAAGGTACCTCAGGACATGCGGACACGTGGTCTGAATGGCATTTAGGTACCTGAGAAATATAAACATTTTACATCCGTGATTCATGTGATGGTATCACTTCAGCTGCCCAATGGGACCCTCTAAATTAACCATGTAAATCCAGGTCAACCACTACAAGCCATCTAAAATTTTTTACACTCGACAAACTGGAAAAAAATCCAAAATCCATAAAACAAAAATTTCGTCTTCCCGTTATTAAACAACTTGAAGTCCAAAAACAGACATTTGCGTGAGAGCTATTCAATACTACCTTAATGTATTTTAAAAGGCTGAACACAGAAATATTGTTTATGCTACTTGATCACCCAAAGGTTTCCCATCTACCCACACAGAGATAGCAAGAAAATGATGCTGGCTTACGTTGGTGTGTAGAGGAACTGATCTATGATAAGATCCCTGCCTTTCGGATGATTGAAGTATACAAATAAACTCCAATGAATCACCCAAGTTCTTTGTTGCAGAGTCATCAGGTCTGAGTTAAATGACTACAAAAAAAAAAAAACATGCCATGACTAGTTAATAGTAAATATGCATGCATTGGGTATTTAAAACTAAACAAAGACAATTAACAACCAACAAGAGACGTTTTTCAAAGTAAGTAATAAAAACTGGTTAATACTTACATTACTATCAATTAGATCTTTTACTTTGTTCAAATCTTCTAGTGCATACTCCCAATTCTGCATCAGAATCTCAGAAGCTAGTTTCCCCCAACAAGCATTAAGAAAATTACGATCATTTGGGGGTATCTGAAATTAAAGGTTAAAAATGATATGCTAATAAGTACCAAAATTAAAATGTACTTTTCAGTTTTCAAACAATAAAATCAACTAACACATTGACTTACCAATACTCTAACAAAGTAGAGGAACTCAGCAGCACCTGAATAATTGCCACACTCATACTGAAACTTGGCGTAGTCGTACAGTGTGTTGATCATGTCATGTTTAAACTGTCAAAATATAAAAAGTTACACATACCCCATATTTTCAAGTAAAAAAAAAACAAATACAAAGAAACTGTCAAAATATAACGTTACAGACAACCGTAATATCAAGTAAAAAAAGATGAGAAAATATTAAGAAAAAGGAAACTTTTCCTTTAAAATAAAAAAGACCTACCCCATATTCTTTGGAAAGAAAATCATACAGCTGTCTCCCATCTCTGAAAAATTTTAATTGTTTTTTAAAATACTAAAGTTATTAAATGCCATACAATTAACCATAAAACATGACAGAAACAATGAAAAGATACCTTGATGCTTGAATCTGACGCTGTACTTCAGGTTTCTCAAAGATCTCTGTAATACTGTCAGTTTTAGCCTGAAGGGTTTTTAACTGAGCTACAACTTCTTGACGTTTGTCTTTCAAAACTGAATTGAATTCAATTCATAAAATTAAAGAAAATATAAAAAAATATGTATATTAAATACATAAAAGCAGAAACAGATCCCAAAAATTCATACATTTAGCAGTTTAAATAAACTGGGTTGCCTTTTTAGCAACACCACTCCCATATTAACACACAATAGGACATAGCTTGTACTTTAAATATGTACAATGGATGAATGTGATAAAATATAGAGCAATCCTAGGCAGGTTTACTGGAACTGTAATAAGATGACATGATTCTACAATCACGACAATATCCTCAAGTGTTTTTTTAAAATTACCTTGTGGCACAGCCTGGTCTGGGTACAGGTTGCGATGGACATCCATAGCAAAGTCAACCATGTTGGTGTTGCTAAGGAGATCCAGCTTGCCCATAAGCATTTCTTTTTCATCATACAGCTGAAATAAAAAAAATTATTGATTAGTCTAAGCAGTGAAATACGCTCTGCAAAAAACATCAGTGGCATTCGTTAGGGCCTTAAATTTCTTGTTAACTTATAATGTATACAAAAAAAGTTCCAGTTCCTTGTAGAAAATAATAGTAGGCAATATGAACAAAAATTACAGTACAAATGTGTAATGAAGTGCTTGATAAGATACAATTTTCCTTCATGTAGCCTGTAAGTTAGGCATAATATTATAGGTGTTATAGATGTTTTGCCAATCCTTGTTTTACAAATTAAAATTTGTCATTAGTCCTATAGGTCCTACTCAATTCTAAATATTCTGGAGCTTATATTTAGGCCTACACATTATTAACATGTAGGCGGGAATGTGAAACATATCTCTTTCTAGGAGAAATAATCACTTTTCTCTCATTGGTTGTTAATTTCTTATTTTTTCCACCTTTAGAGAAGCCAGATGGAAGGTAATTATATTTTCTTTCATCTACGTGTGGTAACAAAACTACTTGATCTGAATTTCTTGATATGTCCGTTGTCAGCCAACATCAGTGTAAAAAACAAGACATGTTCCTACTATGGTAAACAGTTGATAAACTTTGACAGATTATTAACGTTTACGCAAGACCGTGTAACACATTTTACTCATTGTCCTGACTGAATGGAAGACAATCATTGCCATGCAGACATTTCCACAATTTTGTGAAAGAAAAAAAAAACATTGGTTAATATTTTACTTAGGCCCTATTTATTACTTAGGCTATATTTTACTTATTTATAATAAAATACTCTCAACTGGAGGTGAATGTGGCGAATAAAATACACTAAAATGGAGTTTAACCAACATCAGATTACCCAGTACTCCTGTATTTCTATCCTGTATTTGATGGTGCTATTAGTTTTTTAAATTAGGTTTTGAAATGTTATCCTAGAACAAGTTGAGTTAGATCTAGATTCTAGATCGAGTCCCTAACTCAGAACTCTTATGTACCAATCACACTTCATTTTTTTTTAACTACAAAGCCGGCGTAGGTAAAACTCCATTTTAGCGTATTTTATTCCCCGCTTCACGTTCACCTCCAGTTAATTGTAATTTATTATAAACACAACCGAAACACACAAAAATGTTAGGAAAACACTAGATCTAGGGCCTACTTATTTTTTTATGAAAGTGATTTTTAATTAGAAAAGGTAAAAAAAAAAAAAAAACATAAAAAAGCATTAGAACTGTTCCAATTAAATATTGTGTGATCTTCATAAATGTTTATTTAGGCTTTGCAATTGTGAGTTACGTTTATGTACTTCACCCATTGCCATGACAATTCTAACTGACGCACGAACATTCAATATTCTAAATTTGGATTTTTCTTAAGTTTTGACAAAAGTAAATTATCAAAATCTAAAGGCTGCATTTGCGCGGTTAGCTCAGCCTTACGCGTAAAACCGCCTTTGCGCAGTTGGCTCCATGTTACGCTTAATCTTTACCATAGGTGGCACGCGATCTAAAAAAAAAAACATATCAGGACTGACCAATTTTTTCCCCCCGTGGTAACAATTTAATGTTGATATAGATCTAGATCGAGTTTAAGTGTATTTATATTATTTCAACACCTAAGAGTCTAGTACTTGTAAAAAAAACAGTACAGTGTAGTGTCAAGAAAAATTTGTGAGGTCAGATGGGTCAGATGATAGTCCTAGATCTAGAAGCAACCTAGCTAAATCAAACTGTCCTTTAACCTTTAGGCCTAGCTATCTAGCATCTGTGATAGTAGATCTAAGTCTATATTATTTATCCTATGTGAAATTAAAAAAAAATTTCAATTTGCTTGAGGGGGGTGGGAGGAGAGGAAGAGAGAAGTAAAGACAGACGATCTTGTGTGAACTTGTGTCTATGACGTATGCTTTAGGCCTGCTGAACTCACAATGACCTCGCCAACCGTGGTGAGATTTTCCACTCACAGGATAGTAAACGTAAGGCAAGCAAGCAAGCAATCACAGCAGTGACGATGTTTGGAAATTTTATTAAAACAAAAAAGAATCATAGTCTACGTCATATTTTCAATATGAAAAAAAAAAAAAAACTAGACATCTAGATCTAGTACCGGTCAAGCTAACCCATGGTTCGAACTCTGAACTCCGGGCCTATGAACTTCAGACTACAGCTGGCACACTGTTGACTCAACCACAGCGGATGTGATAGAGTTGTAAAAAGTAAGCATTTTCAATTACAAGATGGCAAATCAAACCTGCGAGACGCGTAGTCTTTTTTAGGGGTCACGCTCAGCGATACACGTAGGCGTAGTCACTTCGAATTATCTAAAACAAAGTCAGTCTCTTTGTTTTTTATTCATTTGTTAAAACAAAAAAAAAAGTACAATACAGATAAATAAATCATGTTTTCTTAATGTTTTGGTGTGTTTCGCATATACCTCAACTGGAGGTAAACAAGAAGCGGAGAATAAAATACGCTAAAATGGAGTTTTACAGCCGGCGTAAACAAGTAGATTTTCATTAAGATATCTAGATTGGCCCCGATATTATGTAACTCATAGGATATTGCATTTAGGTGATATCACGATAAAATGACACGTTATGGAAATAATTACCCCTTTAACTGTTAAAAATTCTAGTAAAGGAAACACCAGATGTCTATCTAAATATTGCCCGAGCGTGGTGGTGAGATCAAACTCCGCCATCTTGACACCAATGAGAAATTGATCTATGGCCAGATATTTCTCACCTGCAATGCAAAACGTTCGCATTTTGTTGATAACAAGATCTATGGGTGTAATAAATTAACAGCTAAAGTTAATTTTGGATTATTCTAAACTTAATTAAATTTAAAAGCTTAGGCATATATTCCTATTATATATATATATATATATATATATATATATATATATATATATATATATATATATATATATATATATATATATATATATATATATATATATATATATATATATATATATATATATATAATTTAAAAAAAAATAGTCCTCGGGCCCTTCTACAACTCTACAGTCATGTAAATGTTAGGCCTAGATAAATATCATACACTTTAATTAGGACTTACCAGTATTAAGTTAATATTCATTTCATTCACTCGATTGTCGCCAATAACGCATTCAAATATTGATCACCAAATGTCAATACTTGCTCCAATCGGGCATAAAATGCCTTTAAAAGACGAATGTACTGATACATGTGTAGTTAAAATGTTATTCAAACTTACTAAGTAGGACAGGAGAAAGAAAATAGAGGTGTCAGTGTCATTGTTTCAAATGCTATTGTACTTATACCACGGGATGTAACCCGGTTTGGTAATTGAGTGTCAAGCCTACTTTCTCCAACAATTTTGTATTTTTGGTTGGTGTCACCCCTCCCCAATGGGTAAACAATTTTTAATAGTAAATTTTCGATTTATAATTACGACATATACTTTCTTCCAGGGCCGAGTTCATCGCCCTGCAAGTCATTCGATCTAAAGAAAAGTCGAATTACCAAGAAAAAGTGAGATATTTCCACTGAGAAACGATCGAACCAACAATAACAGTTCAACGATAATGGATACTATATTATATAAATATTTCTTTGGAAGTTGTTGGTCGTAGAGCTACATACAAGTGGTTTATTTTTTTTATACTTACAAAAATTGTAGATGCGTAGCTCAAAACAAGCTTCTAGATATTTTCTGTCATATTCTAGATCTAATTAGAGCTATCTCTTAGTGGCTTCATCGCTGTCTTCTCGGTGCCGTAGGGTGACCCGACCCTTTTATATTTACACATGGGGCTACAAATTAGTCTATCAAACAATGGTTAATCATTATTTTAGGTTTCAATAAAGGTTGTTTTTTTCAAATTAGGGTTGGAGGATTGGCATTAGTCTTAGTGAATGTGGTTGGTGGTGCACACATGGGGTCTAATTTGAAACTGCTAGCAAATTGGGGATAGGGTAAATTTAGATAACAGATTCTATTTGGTCTTAGTGAGCCAATTTGGCAAAGTAATCTTTCGCCAGTGCTATATATAGCCTAATGGCTTCTGAGCTGTTGACATAATAAACCATAGGCCTAGACAAATCTGTCTTCTAGATCTAGATATATTAAATATTTTTTCAAACAAAGGAACAAAAATGGATCCTAGCCATATCGTAGATGAAACAGAAAACGGCAATTTCAATAAATTGGAAATTGACGAGAAGCTGAAAACTAGTGTAAAGGATCAAACTTATCAACCCAATGCTACTGGACAAATTCAACCAGGTAGACTAAGACAAGACCTAAGACGAGAGAAGTGCTGATGAGGGGAATGATAGATCTAGAATCTCTAGGCTATATATTATATATATTAATATTAAATATTATTCTAGATCTAGCTCTAATGATTTAATCTAGATCCAGAAACTAGAATCTACTAATTTAAGTGTCAAGATCCAGAACATCAGGATTAGGATGTCATACTCTTATCTTCTTCTTATGTTAGGCCTAATAGTCTAATACTAATAATGCCTAATATTCCTAATAATTAGCCTATTATATTCTAAATTACTTTAAGTTACTAATGAAGTAAAGTAGCATGTAGGCCGTAGGGGCAGGGGTACTCTAGATCTAAAATTAATGGACTTAAGCCTTAAGCGAGAATAGTCTCAAAGGTATCGGAGAGGCCCATTAAATATTTAAAAAATAAGGCACAGTGTAGGCCTAATTAATTAAAATGAATAGGCTATGGTTAGGCCTACTATAAAATCCTGACTGATTTTTTTGAACTTTATAAAAAAGTTGATGTTTTGTTGTATTTGACGTTTTAGTATTTTTGGTAGGCCTAATTTCTACTAATTAAACACAATTTAAAAAAAATGCAAAAACAATTTGGTTTTCATGTGATAATGGCGACATAAACAATGACATCCTGCTATAAATTTCTTTAGGGGCCTAGGCCTATGCAAAATGTAAAAAAATGGCAGAACTAAGTCATGTGGTTTTAAATAGCATTATGTTATTTAAAAATGTTATCTGCAAAGTTTTGTAAACAAATAACTATTGATTATGGAGTTTCTGTACAGCCAATCTTCAATGTCTGTCTTATAAAAGAAACATCCGGTTATAACTTAGGCTTGATGAATATAAATAGAAATGTTTAGGCCTAATAGTTTAATGTAGCCTTAAACTTAAAAAAATTATTTTCATGTTCTCTGAATTCGCAACTATACTAGCATTGATTCTAAAAATATTAAATTTTTAAACTATTTTTAGGCTTAGGTTTTTATTTTTTAAATTATTTTTATGGCCACTAAGTAGTCAGAAGAAAAAAAAACAAATTTCATCCATGTCAACAATATGATGGAAGGATTCTCATCAACTCGGTGGCCTCCATTAATCTAGTAAAGTCTAGTCACTGGTCCTATCAAAGACAAAAGTCTTAACCTAACTAACTAAATCTAGATCTAGTAACTAAACGAGTAACTTAGGCCTATGTCTATATATATTTACTAGATCTAATTAGTATTAAATAAACAGCTTAGGCCTAGAATAGATTATATTAGGTCACCATCTAGGCCTATCCATTCTAGATCTAGAAGTAAAAGCTTACTGGCTTATAGTTTTTCTTCTAACATAATTATCTGCACCGTGTGGTTGGGCGGTTGTGCTTCAGGCACAGTGCCTGAGGTTGAGGGTTCTATTCCATGTTGTAACGTTAACCTATCTATCAGCCAAATAGAAGGAGAACGTCCCCGGATTCTTTTTTCGGGGTCATATGCAAATGCCTTACGGCCTAAGTGGATGAACACTTAACACAATGACCACTAGGGCTCGAATTTAATGTCTAGGGAAGCTAGTGATACTATTGTAATTAACACTCATCCAATCTACATATGACCTTTTAATCAGCGAACTCAGAAGTGGCAGAACACAAGGTTGAACTAAATAAAATATTTAATGTATAAAATATCAAAAACCAACTTACACAATGTAGGAAAAAACACTATCACAGATTTCTACACTGTCTAAAGAACAGCTACAGGCCACACAACACTGCTGTAGTTTCTAGAATTACTGAGCGACAAGTAATATTAAACTAGAAGACTAAATCACTTTAAGAAAGCAAGGCACACACAGGTCTTAAGTACTCTCACGTTCAAATGGTCAGAGTCTATAGCCGGACAATATGGACGGCTGCCTGACTAAGGTAAAACTGCCTCGTAGACTGCCAGGTCAAGATAAACTGCCTCGTGTTGCGAGTGTGCAGTGCAATTAAAGACTTCTGTGACAGGGGAGGTTATCCTCGACTCATGTCGCCATTGGTTGGGATAATCATCTGATCAGAATCATTCAATCAGATTTTAATGGAAAATTTCTATGTCTCAAACACCTTAATAAGTCAGTGGAAAAACCCCAGGTGTTACACCATCATTCCATATAAGGAATTATACAATGTCAAAATAAAAATGACTCGACCTAAGTAGGTCACATCCCCTCCCTTTTTGGAAGTGACAGATAGGTTCCACAAAAACATACATAGGGAACCAATCTGGCAATGAAATAACAAAAATGTTTTATAAATGTAGGCAATCAAAAACATAATACCAGATGAAAATATCCCTGAACATAAAAGGGAAGTAACTCCAACTTTTACAATTGGTGAAAGGGGAGTAACCCTTCAAAAAGTAATTATACATCAAAATCCCTCAAAAAAGGGTATTACAATATTTCCATGTGGATATTAAAAGTGGTAAACCCGCCAGGGTAAGACCTTTATTTCAATGACTAGCTACAATATCAATAGAGTCATGTGAGACATATTAATATAAAAGATTACATATAATCAAAAACCACCTTTAATTAAGGTTCACCTGAAAATAAACAAAATATTCAACAGGATTGGAATTTTGAAAAATTCTAACTCACACCACTCATTTTCATATGAGTGACACTCAAACAAAACCTGTTTATGGTCCTAATGAACCACAAAGCGTGTCACATGATCAAGGTGTGTAACAAGATTTTACATCCTTGACAAACAATCAGCCACAACATTATCACTACCTTTAATGTGTGAAATTTCCAGATTAAAATTTTGGAAATATAAGCACCATCTCAATATTCTTTGATTTGTCTGTCCTAACTTAGAGGTAAATTTCAGGGGATCATGGTCAGAAAACACTCTGACTGGATTGGTAGAAGAAGAGACATAGACTTCAAAATGTTGTAATGACAAAACTAAAGCTAAAGCTTCTTTTTCAATAGTAGAATAATTCTTTTGGTTTTCATTTAACTTCCTGGAAAAAAAGGCAATGGGATGGTCAATTCCCATGTTGTCTTCTTGAAATAGGACTGAGCCAATGGCTAAGTTGCTAGCATCAATGGCAAGTTTAAAGGGCTTGCTGAAATTTGGTGCAGCCATAACAGGAGCATTAGATAGAAATGACTTAATGGTTAAAAAAACTTCTTGACATTTATCGAACCATTCAAACTCAACACCCTTTTTCAATAATGCAGTAAGAGGTTCAGCAATAGCTGAAAAGTTTTGACAGAACCGCCTATAGTAACCAGCCATCCCAAGGAACTTTTTGATCTCTTTACAATTTTTGGGAGGTGGCAACTTTACAATAGCATCTACTTTAGCTTCAATGGGCCGAACTTGGTTCGTTCCCACTTGATAACCCAAATAGGTAATTGAAGCTTTACAGAAATCACTTTTATGTAAGTTTACAGTAAAATTCACTTCAGACAATTTTCTAAAAAGGTTAGTCAATTGAACAATATGTTCTTCAAAAGTATTAGAAAATACAACTATATCATCTATGTAGGCCTCACATTGGTCTATGTCAGCAATGACAGAGTTAATGACCCTCTGGAAAGTTTGACCAGCATTTCGCATACCAAAGGGCATACGTTTGTATCTATAAAAACCATTAGGGGTTACAAAAGCAGATATTTCTTTTGCACGGTCAGATAATGGGATTTGCCAGTATCCTGAAAGTAAATCAATTTTGGAAATTATCTTAGCCTGCCCAACTTTATCAATAACGTCTTCTATCCGAGGTAAGGGATAGGAATCAGCTTTGGTGAGCGCATTCACCTTCCTAAAGTCGGTCACAAACCTGAAAGATCCACCGTCTTTCGGGACTAGGAGACATGGGGAACTCCAGTTGCTGAAACTGGGCTCAATGATATCATTCTTGAGCATATAGTCAATTTCATCTTTTATCAAAGCAGCTTTTTCCGGGTTAACTCTATAGGGGTGTTGTTTAATGGGTTTTGCGTCACCAACGTCTACATCATGAGGTGGAACCTTCGCTTCTTTGGGGGCATCCCCAAAAATAGAGGGAAATGTCTCAAATAACTGAGACAATCTATGGCTTTCCTCTGTGGACAAATGCATAAGGTGGACATTCAAATTATCTAAAAAGGAAGAATTTACCAATTTTGGGGGTTTCAATTTATCATGTATCACATCATCAGAAACATTAGAACATACAGGTAAATTAATTTTAGCTGTGGATTGAAAATTGTTACAATTATCATAATACTTTTTCAGTGAGTTGACATGATACACTGTCTGTTTCTTTCTTCTGTCGGGCGTATTGACAACATAGTTCAAATCACTTAATTTTGAATGCACAGTGAAGGGTCCACAATATCTCAAGGATAACGCATTGTTCAGATTAGGTACTAGCACAAGAACTTTGTCGCCTGGATTGAATGTTCGTTTACAAGAACTCTTATCATACAGTCCTTTCATTCTCACTTGGGCCTTTCTTAAGTTCTTGTGAGCCATTTCGCACACGGCTTTCAGTCGAACGTGAAAATCGTCGAAGTTTTCCACTGGATGATCACTGGTACCTGTCCAACGTTCGTGTATCAGCTTCAGGGGGCCACGGACAGAATGTCCAAACACAAGTTGAAAAGGCGAGTAGCCTAAAGAGTCCTGGACACAGTCCCTCGCGGCGAAAATAATCCAAGGAACAGACTCATCCCATTGGGTGTTACTGTTAGCGAATGTCCTTAGCATGGTTTTGAGGGTTTGGTGGAACCTCTCAAGTACGCCTTGAGACTGAGGGTGGTAGGCTGAGCTGGTGATGTGGGTAACGCCTAGCGTGGCTAGCGCTTCCTGAAAATGGTGACTGGAGAAGTTGCTGCCTTGATCTGTTTGCACGATTCTAGGTAATCCAAAGGTAGTGAAGAACCGGGTCATGGCTCTGACTACAGTCTTTGCCTTAATGTTCCGTAAGGGAATCGCCTCGGGAAAACGGGTACTTGAACACATAAAGGTAAGTAGGTACTCGTTGCCCGCCTTGGTTTTAGGCAAGGGACCTACACAGTCCATGACGATTTTAGAAAAAGGTTCTTCTAATACAGGAATCGGACTCAAAGGGGCCTTAGGAATTGTCTGGTTTGGCTTTCCGGCCAACTGACAGTTCGTGCAACTTCTACAGTAACGCGACACATCTTTTCTCATTTTGGGCCAAAAGAACAGTTCTTTGATCTTCGCCGTCGTTTTAGTGACTCCTGGGTGCGCTGACATTGGATGGTCATGTGCCAGCTTAAGTATTTCATGCCGATAAGGTGGAGGGACCCACAGCTGGTTTTTACCCAACCATGGTTCGGCTGGTGAGGCAATCACTGGTATAGCGCGACGAAAGAAGAGGCCATTCTCGGTGAAATATTCTCCATCGTCAGATGATAGAGATTTTTCGACCGTTGCCTTGAGTTCCGCGTCGACTTGTTGAGCTTTAATGATGTCTTCCTGAGATATCCTCAGGGGTAAGCCCAGACTTGTGTTTTCTGGAAGCATAGACTCCAGTTTGGGAGTCGAATTTCTTGACGATGATGGTAGATGTGGTTCAGACGTTGTGTCAGCCAATTGTTTGGTCTGGCTTCTTGTCACCGCACATGCAGGATACAGTTCATAATCATTATCTGGAACTGTTGACAAAGGGTCTGAAACCGTACAGGGGTATACTTTGCTTCCCGCAAGGTCATTCCCTAGAAGTAGGTGTACTCCTGGGACTGGAATACTATCTATCACACCTAAAATGACCTCACCTTCGACGAGATGATGTTTCAGGGCAAACTTGTGTAGAGGGACGACAGTAGATTTTGTCCCCACTCCCTGGATAATGGAAATCCTTCCGGTGTTCGTCTCTGGTGTAATGTCCATTGAACTTCTCAAAAGGAGTGATTGTGACGCTCCTGTGTCTCTTAGGACGGTGATATTCTTCTGAGACAACGGATCACCTGGTTTGCTAATGATGGCTTCGGCAATAAAAGATGAAAAGTCAACTTTTCTCGATCCCTCGAGATCGGTAGACTCGGAAGAAACTGGATGGTGGCGAGAACAGTCAAAATGTGACTGCACATAATGTGTGGAGACTTGACTACTTTCTTGCGGACACTTAGGGTTAGAGTCCTTTAGAATTCTAGAGTTCATAGTTGAACTGGCTGCTTGAGGGGATAGAGCATAGTGCGCGGAAGTACGCACCACCTCTCTGTTATATTGACGACGTTTGTAACAGTCCTTGACAAGATGCCCAGGCCTTTTGCAGAACTGGCATACTGCTCGACGATTGAGAGTTGATCTTGGTTTCTCTCTGGACTGTGATGCCTTCAAATGTTGGCCAACAGGATGATTGCTGCCAAAAAGGGGAAGCACGGGGTTGAGGCGGTTTCCTAACACTGGTGGTTTCTTATGCACCAACATATATGTGTCAGCCGACTCAGCAGCCTTCTGGATGTCAGTTATCTTGTTATCCAGAATGTGTAGTCGTATCTCTTCAGGCAGGGACGATAGGAATTCTTCCCTTAGGATAAGTGACCTGAGTTTCTCAAACTCAGAAACTTCCTCAGAGTGTAGCCACCTTGAGAATATTTTCTCCTTTTCAAAGAGAAATTCCACATATGATTGTGTGGGTAACTTGCGGAGTGTTCGGAATTTTGTCCGATAGGCCTCGGGCGTCAGTGCGTAGGCCTTTAAAATGGCAGTCTTGACCAAACTATAGTTATTTTGAACGTCGTGAGAGAGTGCCTGGTATGTTTTTGCAGCTTTCCCAGTAAGGACACAGCTCAATAAAGCAGTAATGGAAGATTCGGGCCATTCACATGTCTTCGCTAAACTCTCAAACGAGTTAAAGAAAACGACCAAATCTGTTTCATCAAATTTAGGAACTAATTTCCCAAATTTGGCAATCACTTGCCCCACCGACAACTTTTTTGGATCTACCAGAGAAGTAACATCACTAACTTGACCAAATTCTGATTCCAACCTCCTCCTATCTAAAGCAATTTTAACTTCCAACTCCTGTTCTTTTAATGCCTTCTCTAAAGCAACTTTCTCCTCGCGGAGTAACACACCAGCCAACAAACTTTCATCAAATACCCCTTCATTAATAAAATGAACAACAACTTTATCTCTCAACACTTCTGACTTCTGCGTAACAGAATAATCCAATTTCAATTCCTTAACAACACTAATCAAAACTTTTCTACTCAACTTCTCGACCTCTTCAAAAGTAGGATTAGCCAAAAAAGACTCCATAACACTAACTTTCAAATCACAACAAGCCTAGATTCTTTAAATTAATACACAGCGTTGGGCCGTGTACTTGACCTCTAAATGTAGGACGTGACACGTCTGCTTATTTGACCTAGATACTCTAGCCTGAGCGCGCGTTGTAAGAACACTGCTCTACTGGATATAAAACAACTAAATCCAACTAACCTTAGTATTCAACTGATATAACCAACAACTGGAACGACAGATTAAATCCCGGACGAGCCCCCACTTTGTAACGTTCTCCTTCTATTTGGCTGATAGATAGGTTAACGTTACAATGTGGATACGTTTTGTTTTATACTTTTTTGTGTGTGTTTCATTCACTTTATTTTTAGATTTTTTTTCTTGTGATAATGGTATTTACTTATCTTGAATAGATAGGCTGATAAATAATTATTAAGGGATCCTAAAATCTAGATTCTAGATCTACTAACAGTAGCTACTAGTTCTACAGTATATCTAGTAATGAGATCTAAAATCTTATCTGTTAGTTCATAACACCTTTTGTAAAAATAAATCTATTTTAATAGCCTATTTCTGTAGCGCTGTTTTGTAAACATGCGCATCTCTTTCCAGCTTGAATCGGCCTTAATATTATTATGGTTCGCCCATGGTAGGTCTGAGGTTAGGGATAGAGCAGGGTTAGCATTGACATGAAGTATAGGGTTAGGTTTTAGGCATTAGGATTAGGGATTACATAGTAGACCAGCCATAGCAATAATATTGAAATAGTTTATTATATTTGGTTGGATCCATTTTTTGTTCCGTTTTTAAACGATTTTTGTTATATGTTTTATTGCCAATGCTTTTTGTGAAGTATGGTTTTTTTTTTTTTTTTTTGCTTTTTGTGAAGAATGCTTAGCCATACATTTTAAATGTTATAATTGCATAAGAAACATGTACAAATTAAATACTCCAACAAGATGCTGCACATTCTGGACATCTGTTGTGTGGTAGAAATAATTGTAATGCACCAGTAATTTTAGAATTACTTAATTCAAGGGAAGCTATTGTTAAAGTATTGTGTTTCTTTCTTTGCTGTGCTCTTGTTAACAAAACAAATCCTAGTTTAAAGCTTAACTTTCTAAGAAAATAATTACTTTTGTCAAATCTAAGAATAAGAAATATGTGGCTAAGGTTAGTGTTAGATATAATAAAGGTTATAACCTAATTGTATTAAGTAATGATTTTTTGGAAATCTAATAGGTGTATTATAAAAAGTTCTACTAAGACTTGAGTATTTCATTGTGTGATTAAGGGTGTTACACTTTAAAAAAAAACTTTCAAGTTACATTAAAAAGCATAAGATTAGTGTTGATAATACCACTTTTCAAAGTGGTTTCTATTTTTACAATTTCTTTTCCTACCTTCAAATTTGGCTCACTATTTTTTAAATATTTGTTTTGTTCAGTCGAGGTTATTATAAAGATTGTCCTGATGGCCCTATACATTTTAATTTTTTATATTTTTGTCTAAGAATTTTAAATTTTACTTTCAGATGGCACTGGTGAGGAAAATATTTTAGAGTGTCCTGTGTGTCTTCAGTCGTGTATATATCCTGTACAGCTACCCTGTCGGCATATCTTTTGTTTTCTGTGTGTAAAAGGCGTGGCCAGTAGAAGCAAGCGGTGTGCTCTGTGCAGGCAGCAAATACCACCTGATTTCTTTTGTCGACCAAATCTAATTCGCCGTGATGACCTTGAGCAGCCTGTTACTTTTGATGATGGCTACAGCTGGTTCTACGAGGGCGTCAATGGGTGGTGGCAGTATGATGACCGTACATCTAGAGAGCTCGAAGTGTACCACAAAGCAGGTCATACTTCCTGTGAGCTTCTAATTGCAGGGTATGTTTATCTCATTGATCTAACAAATATGGTTCAGTCCAGGAGAAATGATCGAACCAAAAAGAGGAGAATTAAACGTGACTTGATAAATCTGGCTGGTCGAAAAGGTGTGGCAGGTTTGAAACTAAGTGCAGACACTGTAGGTATTGATTCAGATCGTCCTGGTGCAGAAGGTCATGAAACTTCCTCCAGTCAGTCTTCTTCAGTCCGTCGGCCTATCCCCATCCAACAAGCAGATAGATCAGGAGACAGCCACTCACTCTCTCCACCCACACCCCACAACACTCCCCAGACACCAATGACCCCTTCAGAGAGTCCACCTAACTCAGCTACCACAGAACGTGACCTTTCTGTTCACCTGGAGCGCCTACGACTTGTTGATAGTACATCAGTGTCAATTAGCCCCCATGGAGGATCCAGTAGCTCTAGCCGGGGCTATGACACACCTGAACAGTTAAGCTCCCATTTAGAAGATGCCACTCGGCTGGAGAATGTTCGTGCTAGCCTACAGCAGTTGCAGTCACAGAGCACAACAAGGGGCAGGGCTCGTGACTCAGATGAAACTGATGGCAGTAGTAATTCTGACTGTGATAACAATATTGTCCAAGTTTAGATCAAGTTACTGTAAAGAATAAAGAAGCTGCAGAGCCTTAGAGATAACACTTATTTTAACAGGTTATACATTCTGATAAGTAATTGAACCTTTACATAGGTTGAGTAAAATTAATTTGTAAGTGTAATCTTAATTTTAAAGTTTAAGAAGGAAATAATTTTAAAAAACTGCTTACCAAGATCATAAGTGATGTCAATTATTTATCAGCAATATCTTAGTTTGTCAAAGTTGTCTGTTAGCACTGAGCTTAATGTACTTTTCATCTGCTGAATATAACTAGTGTATAAATAACTTGCTTGAGTCAGTTTTTTTTTTATTAAGTCTGGGGACTCTCCTCATTTATCCTTATAAACCAGTCTGACCCCACTGCATATAATATGTTGTCATTTTACAGCAGGTCATCTGTTTAAAGTGGTTGTCTATAACGAGGGCTATTTTGATTGATTTAAGTGAGACCATATTGTTTCCTCTTATTGATAACTGATTGCTAATTTCATTATGACCTGTACTCAACTTTTCTTAAACAGTAGAATTTTACTTTTGTGTTTTTAAATAACTAATAAACAAATAATTGAAAATAAATATTGACTCATAATGTATAGGGAATTTTTTTTATCATAACTTTGATGGTTAAAATAACCTCGTCAGAACTATTTTTCAATACATAGGTAGCTTCTTTTGGAAATTAAATTAACTGTAAATAGTCAATGAAATGTCTCTTTAAATAAAAATATAATTGTTATATTATAATTCAAATCTATCTTTTAATATTCAATAAATTATTTGGTGGTTAGCACTCATTTTTTGTGTATATATAAATTCTAGAGTACTATAAAATATACATTACTTTTACCATGTAGCTGAATAGTTTTCTATGTTGAAGGTGTTCTATGAAATTAAATTACTTTTTAAATTAAATTAAATTCCCAAGTACTGCACTACTAGCAGCTGTAATTTGGTGCCATCATGGGTCATAGAAAGTGATGTAAGGTGCAAATGTTAGTTGTAAAAAATTGATTATGGTAGCAAGATATGTAGTCACATAATGTTTTTTGTATTCTTTTCAGTATTCAATTGGGGCTTTAGATGAGGGTTTTTTTTTTTAGCTTTTGCTATAGTTTGCTATTTCACATAAGTGGTTACACAAGAGGTTTGATAAAGTTTGCATCATTTCCCCAATATATGCTGCCCATAAAGTTAATCATTTCCCCAATATATGGTTCTTACTACCCCTATCAATTTTAGTGTTTTGACTCCAAAAATTATTGTTTGAATATAAAAATATTATTAATTAACAAATTTAAAAAATAATTCATGTTCCTGGATTCAGTGATGGTTTGTTTCTCAAAGTTTTACATTTTTATTCAACTAAAGTAAGACAAGCTTTGCAGTTTACATTTTTATTTGAGAATCTGTTTTGTATTAGTATTTACTTTCACAATCAAGTGTCTTTAATATCCAAACCAAGATAAGATTGTTTTTGGTTTTATATTTCTTGAATAAACTATGTAAAAAATTGTCTGCTGTTTGTATTTTGCATATCACAAATTAGATTTTAAAATTGTAATATTAGTAAACACACTTAAAACAACATTCAAATCTAAAAGTGAAGACAGCTATGGATACGGCATAAGTTATTATAAGATATTTAATGCTCAGAAATGTATAGCATCAATAAGCGAATGTGCAAATATCATGTATATAAAGTAACACATATGAAGTGGTATGGAGCAATGTTACATGACACCACTTTGAAACATTAAAGCTAATTTTTTGCTGATTGAAATTAATTAGTCTCAGTCTACCCTTTCTCCTGATATTCATTTTTGTCTAGAGTTTTGAGATGGGTTAAATTTAGGTATATTGATCTTAAAATGTATACAAATACTTATAACTGAAAAATGACTGCTTTAATTAAGTTAAATAATTTTTAAAATGTATGCAACATTGAATTTACATTTTCTAAATCCTTAACCCTCCCATGCTTCAATGACTCATCACTTAAATAGTTACCCATTCTCAAGGAGTGGTGACATAATGGAACCTAGTAATTAATGTTGCTTCCATTAAGATACAAGTTAAAGAAAATAGTGTAATTGTGCCTAAGGTTTGCTTTCTGATAATTGCAATACTTGATAGATATGATAGAATAATTTCTGCATTGCAGCAGTAACCAATCATGCCTTAAATACTTAGACAAAAAGTGGTGTTTGAATTTATGTTAATGATATAGCCTGTTTGTGAAATACTTGCTCGATGAATTTAGCAAGACAAGTTAAGCACTACGACTGAGTACAAGATGCTCAAATTAGCCTAGATCCAGAGCTCAATTAGTCTAGATCCTGAGGTGTTCCTAGGGTATGGCAATTTATAAATAAATATAATATTTAAAAAATCATTTTGTAACTGTTTTCTAGATCAATGTGACACCAAAATAAAAATGTGAATGGGGGGAGGGAGGCGCTTTTTCCCAACATTGTTTGCCCAATATGCGGGAAGGGTTACTATGCCTCTATCTAGATGCAGGGCTATATAGGAAAATATATGCTTCACTTTTGGATTTTGTTAAAGGTTTCACAGATGTGTTCTATCAATTTGAAGGAAAACCAGAAGAAAATATTTCCTTATGTTGATTCCACAAAAAGCAGATGAAAGCATATCAATGAAGTTTAGAAGCAAAACACTTATAGGCATATACATGATGCGTGCATTACACTAGACTAGCACAGAGGGTCCACTTATATACTAAAACGTTTTGATTCTTAATAAAAATTAGAAACCACAGAAGAGTTTCGTGAAGGGGTTTGCGCCGCATGTCAAACATATCATGAAGAAGAATCTTGTAGGAGAAGTCAAGCATTTTCATCAATATGTTAATCAGTCAAGTTAGCGGAACATGATAGTCTGACACCCCTGGATCTGTCTAGGGTTGTATTTGACTATAGTATTTGATCAGTATTCCCTAATCACGTAAAGGCAATTTTGAGATTGTTTGCAAATTGTCTCAGCTGAAGAAGATAAAAAATTAATTTAGAACTTTTAAAAAAAATAAAGCTGTTGGCACACATGTTTCCTGTAGACCTATTTCCATTTGAAATTGTATACAATTCGTTAATACATGAGTTCAAGTATATAGATTGTATATTCATTAGACAACATAAAAATTATGAGAGAAACAATCAGGTTGGAACTTTGTTGATTATCTATATAGAGATAAATGAAAGTGTTTGTGTTTGTCCTTTATGTGTTACTATACCCTTCAAGTTTTATCCGATGGCCATGAAACTTTGTGAAGTTATTGAGAATACTCCTGGGAGGGTTTCAGCAAAAATAAAGCATCCATGTGTACACTATGGCGCTTACGTTAGTTTTAAAGAGTGCGATACATACGTGGGACTGCTAATATAGTTACTTCTGGTTGCATAGATGTTAGTAGTTTGTCTGTCTTATGCCAAGGTTACTGAAATAGGTAAATACTTCCTCTTCTGCCCATTAGACATAAGGTTCGAAAGGTTGCTTTACACTTTTTTAACTACTAGTTTTAGTTTTTAAAAAAAAAGTAAAGCACTAGTGTGGAGTGTCCGCAACCCCCAACCCGAAAGTTTTCAGTTTGAGTGCCCCCCCCCCTCCCCTCCACCTCACTTAAATAAACATTTTTCTTTAGTTGGAGTCTTTGTATTTTTATGGAATTACTTCACAATAAGCACACTGGTAAGCGATCATATCTAGATAGGTTTTTTTTTTTGACATGTTTGCTTGACATGAAGGTTTGGCAGTGTCCGCAGCTTGAGAATTCTGAGCGAACATCGTTTTTTTTAAAGTTTCTTTGTCTTGTGCATAGAAAATAAAGGAGACTACGCATTCTAATTTGATTAGGCCTATGTCGTCAGTGACTTTGATCTGGCAAAGCAAGAAATAAATTTTCGACCATATAAAGAACAGATGTCTATAGGCCTAGCCTAATGTACTTCTTAATTGTATTTCAGTTTAATCCTCTCGGTATCTGAAAATCATATTTGGCACTGACATATAGATTCTAATAGACTAAATATATATGGACTTATAGGGCCCCACATTTTAACTAATTCAAGGCCTGCTCAGTATAAATTTGACGCCGATATTAAAAAAAAAAACAATTATTTTAGACTTGATCGAAACATTTTGATCTGGCACATACCCACCAACTTCGTTTTCAAAATGGAGTCAAATCATAAGGAAGCAACAAAGCCCACAGTGTCTTTCGGATTTTCTAAAAAACAAGAAACAAAACAACTGTTAAAATCAGTCGTAAGCGAGACAACAGACAGAGGAGATCTAGAGCCTGATTATGTGTTATCATTAGAAAACAAGGAAGTACATTCTACTCAATCTACACGTGTAACAAAAAATCAAGAACTAGTCATTCCTCTCATTAAACAAAATAATTGGCGTGTTGAAGGTTCACGCCTGAAAGGACCCTCATCAAAAACATTAGAAACTAAAATTGACTCATTAGTATCAGAATCATTGGATGCTCAAGCTGCTAAAGAAATTTTACAAGAATCAGCCAAGTACAATGAAACATGGGAGGATCGGGGTACTGAAAATACAAATATTTCCATACCACTTCTGATGCAGAATAAGATTCCGCAGGGTTTTGAGACTGATGAAAAATTAAATGTAGAATTACGGCCAGATGAACCGGATGACGCAGACTATGATAAGATTCCTATTGAACAATATGGTCTAGCAATGTTACGAGGAATGGGTTGGAATCAGTCACGTGGCATTGGTAAAAATGGTAAAGTAGTTGCCCCTGTGCAAGCTCTTTTGAGACCCAAAGGACTTGGATTAGGTGCTGATAAAAGTAACACAGGGTCAGATAAGAAGGCCACACAAGAATCAGTTGTAAATGCAGAAGAGGACCGTGAGTTAAAAAAGAATTCACATTGCATGATTCTAAGTGGTGTCAATAAGGATTTATATGGCATTGTTGAAGGGTTGGATGAGGACAATGCACGTGTGCTTATTAAACTTACTGTTAGTGGAAAAACTGTCAATATTATGCAAAACAATGTATCTGTTGTTAGTAAAAAGGAATATGATAAATTTTCAAAATATTTAAATAAAGATAAAGTTGATAAATATAACAAAGAGCAAGAGAAAATATCCAGTAACAAATCTTCAAGTGAAGCTGTTCAGACTAGTGACAAAAAGAGAGCTCATAAAAGTAGAAAGCGTGATGCTTCTCCCAATGATAATAATTCTTATCATAAAAAGCAGAGAAAAGATAAAAATAAGCATAACAGTGATTCTGTGGAAAGAAAAAAACATAAAAGCAAATACAAAAAGTATGAAAGGCAACCTTCAAGTAGCTCTGGTTCTGATTCTTCAGATGAGATAGCAACCAAAATTGTTCCACAGTGGTTAAAGAATGATCTTAAAGTTAGAATAATTGACAAAGACTTAAAGAGAGGAAAATTGTACAATACTAAAGTTGTAATTATTGATGTACCATCAAGTGGAATTTGTATATGTAAAACAGAAGACGGAAAAGTAATTGAAAATGTGAGTCAGTCACAACTGGAAACTGTTGTTCCAAAAAGTGATAATTCTTATATTGCTGTGGTATCAGGGTCTTATCGAGGACAGATAGGTCAGATAATGAAACGTAATAAAGACCTCTGTCTGGCTGTTGTTCAGCTTTTATCTGACAGAGACATTGTTTTGAAATTACACTATGATGAAATTTGTGAATATGTTGGAGATATTCAGAATCATGATGATTATTAATACAGGATACAAAATTCTATCAGTGCATGTAAAAAATTTAGTACCAGTTAGTAATATAAGCTTACTATGACTATTGTTTTGTGCATAGGGTGTTTTATGTAAATGCTGTTATTTTCTACAGAAAGGTAAGCTTATATTGGGCAATAGTTTCAATTTATTCTGGCATTTGTCTAAACTTTGTAAATTAAAACACCCTAGTATAATAAGTAAACTTTGTTTCTTGTCTTTTAATGTATAAGGTAGTAAACGTTGTAATATGAATAGTCTAAGTATAAATTAAATGTATTTTAATAGGTTTTAGTGGTTCCTAGAAAAATGGGCAAACTGAAAACTGCAAACAGATAAGTTCGCAAATATAAACTAATTATATATAGGCCTACTAATACACTTGAATTTTACCACAGTGCATTAAAATCTCTATATATATTTCTCTATGCGGGGACCATGCGGGACACCACCACCACTTAAGCGCACTTAGCAGCCCCCTTTCTTCCTCTCTAGGCATATCGCTACCACCCCCACCAATCGTAGAGCAGGGGCAAATAATTTAGTTTTGAAACTTAGGGGATGTAACTAAGAAGAGGCTGCTTTCTCCGGGGGGGGGGGGGGGTATCGTCCTTAATGAGCTATTGATAGTGTTTTAAAGCAAATAATTTCAGTTGCAGCATTGGTAGTGTCGAATTCACAAATTATGAGTTACTAAAAAGTAGAAAATAAAACAACTAAATAGCGGCATATGTTACGCCGCGGGTTAGCTCATGTTTTATTATGCTACATGTTGTTACTCTTTGTAAATGAAGTTTTCTGTTGCACATCTTCCTGGTCTCAGTACTTTTAGTAATATGGATATAATATTTAGTTATCTCTTTTCCCACTGGAAATTCAGCCCATGTTGCTACAACATGCAGCAGGGCTTGCAGTTAGGTAACAGTATCAGGTCTGGCAATTTTTTTGTTTGTTTCTGGTCATAATTATCAATCTAAAGAGTACATTCTTTCAGTTTGGTTTAATTTATCCTGTTTGTTTAAGCAATAGGCATTTATAGTTTTAAAATACACGTAACTGAATCTCTGGCTAGTTTTTTAATACAGATATAGGTTTTGTGTAAAGATGGTGGTGCTATTTTTATAGAGCAATGTATTTTTCTTTTCTTTAAGTCATATATTTATATTCTGATGGTGTTACTAGATTTAGTTACTTTTTAAACCCAGACTGTTAAAAAAATTAATTGAAAAAAATGATGAAGTAAAAACTAGGAATGTGTGACCATTTTAAACAACTATTAAATGCTACTAGGCATAGGGTATGGTATTGTAAATGTATGTAGTGTTTCGAATTTTCTTTTTTAGTGACCCAATCACTTGTAGTGCTTGAGTCAACATTTCTGCAATGCTACAACACATGTTGATACCACTGTTAGGCTGAGTCTACTGATTGATTAGCCCAGGTTTCAGATGATCAGTGTATCTCCTAATTTAATTGTCCATTATTACACACTACACACCTATAACAAAATGCTTAAACATTGTTTATGGCATTAAGTAAAGGATCCCATATTTGTAATAACTTATGTAAATTTGATTATACATGTTTTGTGGAAGGATTTATAAATTACATCTAAAATCTTGATTGTGCACTTAGCACGAGTATATTTGGGTTCCATTTCCGTAACATTGTAGTGCCCTTTAGGGGTCCAATATGTGCAAGAAATCTGACAATTTGTTTTTCGGAAGAATTCTTTTTTTCTGTAACTAATATATTAAATTTGTAAAGACACCTTTTGTTGTTGTTGCTATTTATTTTTCATGCCATTAGATTGTTCTGATAAAAAAAATTGAAATAGACCTTTTCCACTAAGATCTTTTAATAATTTAACAGTTACTAACAGACTGAATCTCTGATTTTAGAAAAAAATTTCAAAGTGCATTGGTAGATAAGACAATTGATATATGCAACAGTTGAATATGTTGTCAAGCTTTTTTCTTCCTTAGCCAGCAACTGCCAAGATCAGCCCTTTGCTTACTTAAGAAAATGCAGAGAGAAAAAAAATAACCATTAATTTATTAAATGGCCTTGTTTAGTGACTTATCTCACAATACTCATTTAAGTGCATCTAATAGTTTATGAGTTTTTAAAACTTATTTTTAGTGCATACATCTTTTCTGTAACTGATTTGTACACATGTGGTTATTAATACACACTTTTTTTGCTGTTGTATATGCAATCTTTAACTTGATTTTTAATGAATTATTTTAATTCTTATTCAATTACTTAAAGATTTGATGTTCTTAAAGTGTCATCAGAGATTAAATCACTCAACTATAAATGGTCATAATAGTTACAAGATTTGACCACTCCCCACTAAAATTGTGACTTAATCACTTGTACAAAGCTCCCAACAACAACAAAAAAATGGAAAAAGTACGCCTATTTATTAAATTAAAAAGAAAAATAATAACCACATACAGAAAATTAAAACAAAAACATGTTTTCTTCATGCACAAATATAATTGAAACCATATTTCACATCTGAGAATGTACAGCTCCAGTTATGTTAAGCATGGGCTTGAGTTTGAATATTTTTAACACAGTTACTACATACTATGTATGTTTGGAATATTTCTTTAAAACAATTCAGTCACACATCCACAACATGAATATAATGTTAAACTGTGATCAAATGCAGTGACCTTTCACCCACTGGTCACAACCCACTTTCATGAGACGACTGATTACATATAATAAGGTGTAGTGATGTTTTGTACTGTTTACAGTGTAGGTTGTACAATACAACCCCATTCAGTTGACTAGGGAGTAGAGCTAATTTAAGTAGTTTTGGTCTGATATAGCTGATGTAAATTGTCATATTTTTAACAATCCTTTAGACTTCAGATATTATGAAGATATTGGAGTTAGATCATTAGCTATTCAAAATTTTTAAAGCAAAGAATATTCATCAACACTACCTATAAGGGTTGGGGAGGTGTCATCCATTTTTATAACAACATTTTTTTAAGAGATCTAAAACATTGAAAATTTAAAAATAATATTTTCTGCAATCAGATCCAACAATATACATAATTTCTATTTTCATTAACGTCTTGCTTATCAACTGGTAAATATTTGATAATTACTGATGCCATGACTTGTTGAACAAGCGAGTTCTGTTTTTAAAAAAATTACAAGCACTTTAGTAAAACTTACATTTTTTGTATGCAGACTCAGAAAACTAAAATTTTGTGATAAAACCTCAGCCTAAATATACTGATGTTAAATATAATGCATTGGACATCATACATAGATGACCTCTAATAGTTATGATGGATATAAATAAAAGAGTAACCTAGCAGAACGCAAAAAAGTCATGTTATTCCAATAGCTGTTTAAAAATTATCTACCTATTCTCATTACACTACAGAATCACATACTAATGACAAAATGCACTAATTTATTATAGTATTCACTTCTTAAGATCCTTGGCATAAAGTATGGATGATGCACATAGGCTAACTCTAAATATTTCGAAGTAATTTTAACCTGTTTTTTGACAGCAGTTATGAGTGGAAGACAAATAGCGATGATACCAATTTTACTAATAAATTTGTTGTTTTAAACTATTTAAAGGCAATACAAACTTTTTTCGCTTCTGGAATTAGTTAATCATCCTTATTTTAAAATAAAAAAAAAAAATAGTTCAGATTTATGTAAATAGTTTGCATTATGAATCAGAAGAATTTTTTGAAAAATCCAAAACTGCTCTAATAATGTTATGATGTAAAAGCAATTAATTTTAGGTTAAAAAACCAAATAACACTAATATTACTAATAAGAAAACAGAATATACACTTCACAAAATGGATACATAAAAACTCTAACATCATAATTTACATTAAAGTTACAATTGCATGAAGTTATATGAACACTTTATTTTCTGCACCAAGGAATTGATGATACAGGCCTGTTGCTCATGTGTGAAAGTAGGCAGTCAGAAAATGAAGGGGACTGTCTTAGTTTCATCTGCTTAATGGAATGTTCACAAAATGTCCTACATATTTTACAATTTTATTTCTATTTCTACCTTTTATTAGATAATGTGATGAATACTAGCTTAATGTTTTCAGTTTGTTTTCTATTAAGACCTACCGGTTATATATAAAACCTACCGGTTATATATAATCAGAAAGCTAAATAAACCAAATGGAAAAGCGTAAAGCAAATTCCCCAGAAAATTGAAGACCTACTTAATTCAGGCAAAACATTCATCATTAACTACATCTATTTATTAAAATGCAGATGGAGAATATATTTTAATGGATTGAAGAGGACTGAGAAAAACTAAAATGAACTAAAAAAATCTTTTAATGACATAAAATTTTTTTTAGACTATACACAAGGATAAAAATATTTGTATGTTTTTATGTATGTTTTTAAACTGTAGTTTTTTTCTACCCAGCATTTACATTAGCAATATGTATACTATACATGTCTAGAAAAAGCAAATTTGCAGCAAGTATGTATGTTCCGTGGCAAAAATGTTCATATAACATTAACTTGTTGCAAGTTTTTCTTTCCTAGACATATATAAAAAACATGTTGCAAGAGTAAATGCAATGTTAAATGAAAAATATATAGTGATATTATAACAAGTACTTACTTGCTAGACAATTTTATTTACATACATTTTTGTATAATAGACTAGTTTTTATTTGATATACAGCATAAAGAAATATTAGCAACAACAGAGTAATTTGTTAAGGTGGGTATTACTAAAGTTTCTGAGTTCTTTAATTACCAACACAGTGGTGGTTACATTTAATCAGCAGTTAAAAACAACCAAGCCAGGCGTTATATACTTTTGTTTATCAACATTTATAAGGATTATTTACTAGCAACAAACTAATTCAAAAAATATTCTGTTTATACCAATAGAAGTAGTTTTAAAATATTTCATTCAAAAATAAATTCACCAAGCCTTTAATAAAAAAAACCCATGGGTATAGCAGTTAAATAAATTACAAAGATAAAACAAAGCTACCATCTGTTATTCCTGTGTGCTAAAATCAGTCTGCTAACAAAACATAATATTTATATCTACACATTAGCAAACAAAAAAAAAAACAGTGTATAAATATCAGTACAATAGTTTTTTAAGACTAATGCAATTCTTTTCACATGTCAATATCAATCCATAAGATGATTTAGCCTAGCAGCAGATTCTGTAGACTAATTTTTGACATAATACTGTTGATTTTTACATATTTATGGTACATCAATGTATCAACAGACCGATGACGTCATGAAATGAGATGTATGTTACTGTGTGCAACCAAAGTTTGAAATCCACAACAACAATGTACAGTTGGATATCCGACAGAAATCTAGGGCTAAAAATCCTTATCTGGTCTTGTTGCTTTCTCCAGCCAGATCCAGCGTCTGCCAGTCGTCAGCATCATTTTCATCAGCCCATACCTCGTTATCCCACCCATCCCCCCCTCCAGTGGAAGATATACCATTCCCATCATCCAAGTCCAGAAGATTTCCAACCAGTGGTTGCTTCTGCTTAGAGGCAGCAGAAGTGAATCCTGTGTTCCAGTCTGCATCTTCCCAGCCGTCTGAAGATGAAACACCCGTAGAAGATTTTTGAGACTTTTTCTTGGATTTGGATGAAGAGGAAGTTGACTTTCCAGACAAAGATGACTTGGAGGAGTCATTGGCTTTCCAACTGTCCCAGTCATCATCACTTTTCTTCTTTCCCTTCACCTTGGCACCAGAAGACAGAGCAGATTTGTCGTCATTCAGCCAAGCTTCTAAATCATCTTCATTACCAGCTGACCAGTCCGAGGTCTTGCTGGATTTTTTAGATGATGAAAGGTCAGATTCTTGACCCCAGTCACCCCATGACTCATCATCCTCCCCTAGCAGGTGACTTTTAGACGAATCTCTAAAATATCAAGACAAATGTGTACATTAATACATAAGGGATTGTAGAACACTATGTTATGTCTGTTTAATAAAATGGTGCAAAGCTTGAAAGATTAAAAAAAAAATCCACACCAAATATTCACATAGAGAAAAACAACAAAAAATATCATTTACTTTGTAAAAAACCCTAAAAGTATCAAATTTAAGCTGAAGTTGTGTCCCTTAGCTTGGTTCTATTATTATGTTGAAGTATAGCTAATTTTATCAAGACAGTGACAAAGGAATGTGTTCTGGCAATCTAAAACTGTTTTAAATGCGGTCAGTGTTAACTTACTCTCCACTGCCATATGAAGATCTGCTGAGTAGAGAAGACTTCTCCCCAGGGCTGGTGTCAGCAGTGGTCAGGGTTGTCTTAGGTTCACTCCACAGGGACTGCAAGTCCTTCCAGCCTTTGGTGCTTGCAGCCGACAACTGGAAAACAATTGGGTCAAAGATAAACTAGACATCAAGAACAAAAACTCATTTATATATGACTTATGGCATGTTTTTGGACAACTAAAACACAAGAGCTGATTGGTATCAACTTTTTGTGGACTGTGCTGGTAAATGTGGGTATACATACATTTATTATTTTAACATATAAACAGTGCTACTGTTTTAATATAGCTCAATAGGGTAATTAAATCAGAATATCAGATTTATGTTTATACAAAATTCCTACGTTAGCAAACGATCAATGAATGTGGGATCATTAAACTATGGTAAGTAATATAGTTCTGTGTACAACAGCCAAATACATTACTTTGTAACTTTTCTGCCATACTTTTCCATTAAAAAAATGTGTTTAATATCGTGCAACAACTTTTGGTTGATTTGGAGATAAAAATCATTGAAATAAAAAGATTATTATTTAGAAATTTTTTTGTTTTTTTTTCTTAACTATTTGGCTTTTATTTTTAACACCCAAGAGAATTTCAAAATATAAAATTAATTTCAAGGTGGGAAGGGTGTTCACAATTGTCTGCTTGTCATAACCACATGACCCCTATCATCTGAACACTTGAATCTAGTTCTAAATGGAATCATCATATTGTTTGTTTCCCCAGCCAGTAATTAAGCCAGCTGAGGTCATTCTGTGCTATCCTTGTTTAGCTCATGAGCAAGCTGTCAATCATCCTGGTCTAAATCAATAAAACACCTCCACAACACAAACAGCCATTCAATACTCTCAGTAGCAAAGTTGTTTACAGTATCAAAGCTGTTTACAGTATTAAAGTTGCCTGTGTCAATAAACAAAAGACCCAGTGTAAACCTGTGAGAGAAAAAGATAAGCATTTCTCTTCCCTCATACAACATGCATCACAACTAGTGAAGGAAAAACTGCTCTCTAAAACACCTTGTCAAAAAGGATAGTTTGATTTGTACATGTCAAAAATATCTAAAAATAGATTTACTAATGCTCATACAAACAATACATTTAAGTTACTGTTAAGTTCCCTAAAGTGTCTTGTCATGTCTTTCCCTCTTGTCTGAGTCAACTTTGTCTGTTCTAGTATCTGTTCTAAGAACAACATAAACAAGACTAGCTACATTCCCGTGCTCCGACACGGTGAACCTTTTTTAAATGTACCAACTTGGGAACAGAACAAAACCAAACACAAACAAAAATGCAAACGCAAAAAAAAAACAACACAAACACAACACAAACTCCTTATCAAACTGCTTTATCAAACAAATGGCTGTAATATTTTCTTCATGTTCTTTTGAAGAGTAAAACTGTCAACTATCAAAAAAATTTAAATCATTACATAAATAGCCACAACTCCAATACTTGTAATAAGACAATGGCGATGCATCATGGTCAGTTTAAACTATTTAAAGGTAAACACTGGTCACAGACGTAGATAATTTACCTTAGATGCTAGGCCACTCATTGATGTTCCAACTTCATTTAATAGCTGTCCCTCTTTAACCTAAGAAGAAGAAAAGGTAAAATTTCTTGTTAAAAAGAGGAATGCAAAACAGAAAGTACACTTACATAAGTATTAAAATTTCTAAAAATAAGGATTTTACAGCCCTGATATCTGGGCTATCATCAGTTTAACCAGTAGTCTGGGCTACCATCAATTGTAAAAACAGCTAGGAGATGGTAAAAAACAACAAGAGAAAGTAGCAATAGCTTGCTCAGACACTCCCTGCTAGACAGGCAGTATGCAGCATCCTCCAACTGCTATTGATTTTTTAGGGGAAAGTTTTAATATCAAGGATCTTTCAATATTGGGAAAAAATGTAAACTGTAGGGCATCTGAATGCCAACGCAACACTAAATCTTAGGGCCATCTTATGTCAATACAACACTAGATATAAGGGCCATCTTAAGTCAATACAACACTAGATATAAGGGCCATCTTAAGTCAATACAACACTAGATAAAAGGGCCATCTTAAGTCAATACAACACTAGATATAAGGGCCATCTTAAGCCAATGCAACACTAGATATAAGGCCATCTTAGGTCAATACAACACTAGATAAAAGGGCCATCTTAAGTCAATACAACATTAAAGCTTATGGCCGTTTTATTTAAGACAATAGAACACTAAATCTTAGGGCCATAAAGACAAAACAACATTGGATGTAAGGGCCATCTTAAGTCAATATAACACAACACTAGATCTTAGAGGCATCTACAGTTAACAATGGATTTTACATTGAATATTTTTACACCTTCTGTCATATAAGAGCAATATTTTAAAAACATTGTCCATGACATTTCCAGTTTGTAGCATTAAGTATTGTTAATTATTGTCTTTATTAAGATAACAAGTTTCACAAAAACAATGATAATAAATGATCAGTTGATCAAGTGGAAGAAAAGTGAAACACAGAGCATGCAACAACACTGAGCGGGTAACAGAAGGTTGGGTGACAGAGATCTAGCTACAGATGGCGGCTACCTGTCATGCCACAACTCACCTTTTCTGCCGTAGGTTTGATGACACTTTCTGTCACTGTGGTGCCCAGCTCTTTGGTCTTCTTGGCTGTGGTGGTGGCCAACTGAGTTGCCTGGGGGGAGAGGCAAAGTTGACCTCAAACTTTCTTTATTATAGCAAGAGGTAAAGTTGACCTCAAACTTTCTTTATTATAGCAAGAGGTAAAGTTGACCTCAAACTTTCTTTATTATAGCAAGAGGTAAAGTTGACCTCAAACTTACTTCTTTATTATAGCAAGAGGTAAAGTTGACCTCAAACTTTCTTTATTATAGCAAGAGGCAAAGTTGACCTCAAACTTTCTTTATTATAGCAAGAGGCAAAGTTGACCTCAAACTTTCTTTATTATAGCAAGAGGTAAAGTTGACCTCAAACTTTCTTTATTATAGCAAGAGGCAAAGTTGACCTCAAACTTTCTTTATTATAGCAAGAGGTAAAGTTGACCTCAAACTTTCTTTATTATAGCAAGAGGCAAAGTTGACCTCAAACTTTATTATAGCAAGAGGCAAAGTTGACCTCAAACTTTATTATAGCAAGAGGTAAAGTTGATCTAGAACTACTGTATTAATTTTGACAATTGACACCACTAAGTTAGTTTTTAACAAAAACTTGTTAGAAAACTGTCAATGTCAGAGCCACACAGCCAACACAATCAGACTGGTGTATGTAATAGAGCCTTGGTTTCACTGGGCTAATAGGAAAATGTGTTTTGTAAAATGGGGGAGGGGTGAGAGCAGGCAATAAAAACAGATCATAAAGAAGTGGATTAAGGTGGCCATGTGGAGTGGGGGGGGGGGGGGGGGGGGAAAGGACCACAGATGAAAAATGTGGGGTGGGACCAGGGATGAAAAATGTCCTCTGTATGCCATGTGGGGTGGGACCAAAGATGAAAAATGTCCGCTGTATGCCATGTGGGGTGGGACCAAAGATGAAAAATGTCCTCTGTATGCCATGTGGGGTGGGAACAAAGATGAAAAATGTCCGCTGTATGCCATGTGGGGTGGGAACAAAGATGAAAAATGTCCTCTGTATGCCATGTGGGGTGGGAACAAAGATGAAAAATGTCCGCTGTATGCCATGTGGGGTGGGACCAAAGATGAAAAATGTCCTCTGTATGCCATGTGGGGTGGGACCAAAGATGAAAAATGTCCGCTGTATGCCATGTGGGGTGGGACCAAAGATGAAAAATGTCCTCTGTATGCCATGTGGGGTGGGACCAAAGATGAAAAATGTCCGCTGTATGCCATGTGGGGTGGGACCAAAGATGAAAAATGTCCTCTGTATGCCATGTGGGGTGGGAACAAAGATGAAAAATGTCCTCTGTATGCCATGTGGGGTGGGAACAAAGATGAAAAATGTCCTCTGTATGCCATGTGGGGTGGGAACAAAGATGAAAAATGTCCGCTGTATGCCATGTGGGGTGGGAACAAAGATGAAAAATGTCCGCTGTATGCCATGTGGGGTGGGAACAAAGATGAAAAATGTCCGCTGTATGCCATGTGGGGTGGGAACAAAGATGAAAAATGTCCTCTGTATGCCATGTGGGGTGGGACCAAAGATGAAAAATGTCCACTGTATGCCATGTGGGGTGGGAACAAAGATGAAGAATGTCCTCTGTATGCCATGTGGGGTGGGACCAAAGATGAAAAATGTCCTCTGTATGCCATGTGGGGTGGGACCAAAGATGAAAAATGTCCTCTGTATGCCATGTGGGGTGGGACCAAAGATGAAAAATGTCCTCTGTATGCCATGTGGGGTGGGACCAAAGATGAAAAATGTCCTCTGTATGCCATGTGGGGTGGGACCAAAGATGAAAAATGTCCTCTGTATGCCATGTGGGGTGGGACCAAAGATGAAAAATGTCCTCTGTATGCCATGTGGGGTGGGACCAAAGATAAAAAATGTCCTCTGTATGCCATGTGGGGTGGGAACAAAGATGAAAAATGTCCACTGTATGCCATGTGGGGTGGGACCAAAGATGAAAAATGTCCTCTGTATGCCATGTGGGGTGGGACCAAAGATGAAAAATGTCCTCTGTATGCCATGTGGGGTGGGACCAAAGATGAAAAATGTCCTCTGTATGCCATGTGGGGTGGGACCAAAGATGAAAAATGTCCTCTGTATGCCATGTAGGGTGGGAACAAAGATGAAAAATGTCCGCTGTATGCCATGTGGGGTGGGAACAAAGATGAAAAATGTCCACTGTATGCCATGTGGGGTGGGACCAAAGATGAAAAATGTCCTCTGTATGCCATGTGGGGTGGGACCAAAGATGAAAAATGTCCTCTGTATGCCATGTGGGGTGGGATCAAAGATGAAAAATGTCCTCTGTATGCCATGTGGGGTGGGAACAAAGATGAAAAATGTCCTCTGTGTGCCATGTGGGGTGGGACCAAAGATGAAAAATGTCCTCTGTATGCCATGTGGGGTGGGACCAAAGATGAAAAATGTCCTCTGTATGCCATGTGGGGTGGGACCAAAGATGAAAAATGTCCTCTGTATGCCATGTGGGGTGGGAACAAAGATGAAAAATGTCCACTGTATGCCATGTGGGGTGGGACCAAAGATGAAAAATGTCCTCTGTATGCCATGTGGGGTGGGACCAAAGATGAAAAATGTCCTCTGTATGCCATGTGGGGTGGGACCAAAGATGAAAAATGTCCTCTGTATGCCATGTGGGGTGGGAACAAAGATGAAAAATGTCCTCTGTATGCCATGTGGGGTGGGAACAAAGATGAAAAATGTCCTCTGTATGCCATGTGGGGTGGGAACAAAGATGAAAAATGTCCACTGTATGCCATGTGGGGTGGGACCAAAGATGAAAAATGTCCTCTGTATGCCATGTGGGGTGGGACCAAAGATGAAAAATGTCCTCTGTATGCCATGTGGGGTGGGACCAAAGATGAAAAATGTCCTCTGTATGCCATGTGGGGTGGGAACAAAGATGAAAAATGTCCTCTGTATGCCATGTGGGGTGGGAACAAAGATGAAAAATGTCCTCTGTATGCCATGTGGGGTGGGAACAAAGATGAAAAATGTCCTCTGTATGACATGTGGGGTGGGACCAAAGATGAAAAATGTCCTCTGTATGCCATGTGGGGTGGGACCAAAGATGAAAAATGTCCTCTGTCTGCCATGTGGGGTGGGACCAAAGATGAAAAATGTCCTCTGTATGCCATGTGGGGTGGGACCAAAGATGAAAAATGTCCACTGTATGCCATGTGGGGTGGGAACAAAGATGAAAAAATGTCCACTGTATGTCATGTGGTGTTGGAACAAAGATGAAAAAATGTCCACTGTATGCCATGTGGGGTGGGACCAAAGATGAAAAATGTCCTCTGTATGCCATGTGGGGTGGGACCAAAGATGAATAATGTCCTCTGTATGCCATGTGGGGTGGGACCAAAGATGAATAATGTCCTCTGTATGACATGTGGGGTGGGACCAAAGATGAAAAATGTCCTCTGTATGCCATGTGGGGTGGGAACAAAGATGAAAAATGTCCTCTGTCTGCCATGTGGGGTGGGACCAAAGATGAAAAATGTCCTCTGTATGCCATGTGGGGTGGGACCAAAGATGAAAAATGTCCTCTGTATGCCATGTGGGGTGGGAACAAAGATGAAAAATGTCCACTGTATGCCATGTGGGGTGGGACCAAAGATGAAAAATGTCCTCTGTATGCCATGTGGGGTGGGAACAAAGATGAAAAATGTCCACTGTATGCCATGTGGGGTGGGACCAAAGATGAAAAATGTCCTCTGTATGCCATGTGGGGTGGGACCAAAGATGAAAAATGTCCTCTGTATGCCATGTGGGGTGGGACCAAAGATGAAAAATGTCCTCTGTATGCCATGTGGGGTGGGAACAAAGATGAAAAATGTCCTCTGTATGCCATGTGGGGTGGGAACAAAGATGAAAAATGTCCTCTGTATGCCATGTGGGGTGGGAACAAAGATGAAAAATGTCCACTGTATGCCATGTGGGGTGGGACCAAAGATGAAAAATGTCCTCTGTATGCCATGTGGGGTGGGACCAAAGATGAAAAATGTCCTCTGTATGCCATGTGGGGTGGGACCAAAGATGAAAAATGTCCTCTGTATGCCATGTGGGGTGGGAACAAAGATGAAAAATGTCCTCTGTATGCCATGTGGGGTGGGAACAAAGATGAAAAATGTCCTCTGTATGCCATGTGGGGTGGGAACAAAGATGAAAAATGTCCTCTGTATGACATGTGGGGTGGGACCAAAGATGAAAAATGTCCTCTGTATGCCATGTGGGGTGGGACCAAAGATGAAAAATGTCCTCTGTCTGCCATGTGGGGTGGGACCAAAGATGAAAAATGTCCTCTGTATGCCATGTGGGGTGGGACCAAAGATGAAAAATGTCCACTGTATGCCATGTGGGGTGGGAACAAAGATGAAAAAATGTCCACTGTATGTCATGTGGTGTTGGAACAAAGATGAAAAAATGTCCACTGTATGCCATGTGGGGTGGGACCAAAGATGAAAAATGTCCTCTGTATGCCATGTGGGGTGGGACCAAAGATGAATAATGTCCTCTGTATGCCATGTGGGGTGGGACCAAAGATGAATAATGTCCTCTGTATGACATGTGGGGTGGGACCAAAGATGAAAAATGTCCTCTGTATGCCATGTGGGGTGGGAACAAAGATGAAAAATGTCCTCTGTCTGCCATGTGGGGTGGGACCAAAGATGAAAAATGTCCTCTGTATGCCATGTGGGGTGGGACCAAAGATGAAAAATGTCCCCTGTATGCCATGTGGGGTGGGACCAAAGATGAAAAATGTCCTCCGTATGCCATGTGGGGTGGGACCAAAGATGAAAAATGTCCACTGTATGCCATGTCGGGTGGGACCAAAGATGAAAAATGTCCTCTGTATGCCATGTGGGGTGGGACCAAAGATGAAAAATGTCCACTGTATGCCATGTGGGGTGGGACCAAAGATGAAAAAAAAAATGACATGAATAATGTCCGCTGTATTGGATGCTATGGAGCCCAGGGAATGACTGAATATTGACTTCCAACGGTTGGCGCAGCATACATAGTATTTTGTGC